ATTGGATGCTACGCTGAAGCAGAACTTCTAATCCAGAGTTTTCAAAGATAAATCAAAGAAGGTTACTGGAAAGCCTGGGGAATCCTTCAGAACATACTGAGGCAACAAGGTACAAAGATCAGAAGTTGGATGTTTGTCCTAGATGGAACTTCTGATCCAGAATTAAGAAATGATGCAAAATCTCAAATTACAGGATTTCTGATTTTGACAATCTCATTATCATTTAATGCTCATTAATGCTCACAACCACTTTTGAGTCTTTGTCCAAAGGATCCCTCCACGTGTGGCATAGAAATACTTTTGTTATCCTTAAAAGCAACTTTTATACAGAAGCATGGGAGGGTCCATGTGTTACTTTTTGCTAGTGGGATTACTTTTCCTTAATCCCTGCTTGCTAATCCAGTCTAGGCTAAAAAACTGTCAACTATCACACCTTTTTTTTAAACTTGCTTCAAGAACAAGTCAGCATTTAGCGTATGATGTTGGCGCTACTTGACCTCTCCAAAACTACAAATTTTTTTGCCTATAAATAGAACATTTTTTGCCATTGAAAAAGGTCGAAAAATTTGAGAAATAAAAGCATTGAACCCTTGCCAAAATCCCAAGAGCTCCAAGAACTGTAAACACACCACATAAAACCTTATTAACTTTTGATTCCTTGTATTTAAACTCCATTTTTTCTCTAATATTTCTTGACTAAAAAACCATTCACATAGTTTCTGATCTACATGTTGGAAACTGCCTAAGCTTTTATATTCATACTACCTCATATTCTCTATCCGTATGCTCAAAGAAATCAGAACATCACCTCTTTGCTGTACCAGAAGTTGAGAACCTCCATCCTGCTAAGTACGTGAAAAAGTTTCTCAGAACCTCACCAGAATTCAGGATCAACCTATGTCCCATAGAATCTTTTCAGCTGCAAGGTAAGCTTTTGCTGAATCTTATCACGTTACTTAAAGCATTACCAGATTTACATGCTCAAAGTACAATGTAGATATCATGTTTCAGATGATGTACATATTCTGAGATTTCATGCATCTGTCTGCCTAAGTAGGGAATAAACCAGCTCAGAACTTCTTGAGGAAATTAGAACTCAGAGTTAGGATTAGTAAATACATGCTTTCCTCTAACTTATAGCTCTGTTATTTCTTATTTTTTGAAACACCATGACACTTGCTATAACTGTTCTATACATGTCTTTTGTTTTGTGGAGAAATAACCAAATTACAGATGTTCTGACTAGCATAGAGAGAGAGACCAAGTTCTGTCAATGGCGCCAGCATTTCTGGAATCTGTTTTGTTACCAGTAATATCAGAACTTCTGAAAACTGTTGTGTTCCCAATGGGTTCAGAACTCCTGACCTTATACATTTTCACTAACAGGTTTCTATTTTGCAGCGTGTCAGGGTCAGAACCTCTGACTTCATTTTTATCAGCAACGCGCTGATTCCTTTTTCCTTTTTTTTCATTATCTTTTCTATCACTCTTCATTCCATTAATCAGAAAAAAAATCAAAAGTATTTCCTTCACACTTTACTTTATTTCTTAAAACAAAAGATCAAAAATATTTTCTTAAAACAAAACAAGTTCGTTTCACATTTTCTTGTACATTCTTATGCATTTCAATATGGTTGTAATAGTAATTTAGGGTTTATTTTCTTTGCAATCCCTATTCGTACATATGTACTCTCATGCCCTAAATATTGTAATAGCGTAGAATTTCATTTTTCGCAATTTACTGTTTTCCTTATACTGTATAGTAAATAGGTGTGTATGGCGAGATAAAAACAACAAGTAGACAACTCTAATCAAGACTAAATGCATGCAAATCAAACACTATTTGCACACATGCACCCTTAAAGTTAACTCCACTTGTTGCCTTACAAAAAATGACCATGTTATACATGTGGGATGTCTTAGCACAAACAAATCGAAAAATACAAGATCATAGTCCCTCGATGACGCTATCAAGGTTGCCTTTCAAAATAATCTTAGTCCTTAGAGAAAAGTGCTAAGTCATCTCACAACATTGCTATCATGGTCATACGATGACCCAACGCTCGTCCCTTCACATCCAATAATGGGGCTTCTTGCTAAATCAATGGTAAGGTAGCAACATCTAAAGGAGGAGGAAAAGCACATCTAAGACCTTTTGAGTAGGTAGATTACTTTTAGTTACTTGCTCAATTTTAAAATAAACATCCTTGCTACTTTCAAAACAATCATATACACTTTCAAAACATATTCAAAACACTTTCCAAAACTTGAAATATTTTCAAAAGCTCAACACTTTGTATACGTTCTTACGAACGAGAACTATTACAAAGTTTGCCTAAACGATGGCACCTTTTCAAAATACTTTCAAAAATTACACATTTTTTCAAACAAAAGCAAGTGATTTAACAAGTAACTAAGAGTCCATGGAAAACCATGGATGAAAAGGGTGCTAATACCTTCCCTTTTCATAATCTACCCCCCGAACTCAAGAAAACATCTCGAAAGGTCTTTCCTGTGCTTTTTCACCTTTCCTTATTGGATAAAAGAAAAGTCGGTGGTGACTCTTGCTAAACCGCAACATTTGCAAACACAAACGCAAAACACCTCAAGTTAGTTCTCTCACTGTATCACACTTGACATCGGGACAATTCTACGATGATGATTCATGATGACGCAGACATATTCGCCATCAACTCTTCAACCAAAACCTGCTACAACAATAAATATCAACACAACAACAATTCTGCATAAGAAATCAAACAAAAAAGAGAAAGAATTCAGTTCATGCATTTCACCGAACACTTGGTGTTCAAGTTACGAAATGACGAATTCGTTAATAATTTAACAATATACATAAATCATAATTGAACAACAATCACACAACAACAATCGAAGAAGAGAGATGAAGAAGATTGAAACTGAAATTCACTGGAAAAAAACGCATGGACCAAATTTCATCATGAATCTGCATCGACATCATCTTCACGTATCTTTCGTTTCTCTTAACTTCATCCTCATCTGTTTATTCCATTAATTATCATGCTCTGTCGCATATTGGGTTTAGTTGAGGAAAAGATTGAAAAACACGTTAGATAAGCATTTTAAGAGGAGCAAGAATCGCTTTTTCGTTCTCACGTGCGTTGGTAACTTATTATTCCATGTTTCTTTTCTATTAAATCACATATATTAAGTGATATTGTGCTTAAGTAGTAAATCTTATGATACTGGAAAGTGATAACTTATTGTTTAAAAATATTAACTTAATAAATTTACACCCATTTAATTAAATAATTAAGATTTAACAAAATAGATTGTGATTTGTGAATATGTTTAGATTAATATTTTAAAATATAAAATTAAACAATTCTTTTTAATTCATTTAAATTTAACGGGAGTAATTGAGATTTGATTATAATAATATTTTTAATTTATATCTGTTTTAAAAAAATAAGGGGTAAATTATCATATGTTAATATTTAAAATGAGACTTTATTTACAAAATTGCCACCATATTTCTTACTTACACCCCATTCTTGATCACTTTAAGAACATCTTGATAGTCAAATAAAATCTTCATTTGCTTGTACCATTTGTTGTAATTATTCGCATCAAAGGTTGATATGTTTGTAGGAACTCTATCATTGAAGACATAATTCATGTTGAACACTAGGTATTTGTGGATCATCTTGATGCCAAACGTTGGAACATACAATCACACACACACACACATATATATATATATATATATATATATATATATATATATATATATATATATATATATATATATATATATATATATATATATATATATATATATATATATATATATATATATATATATATATATATATATATATATATATATATATATATATATATATATATATATATATATATATATATATATATATATATATATATATATATATATATATATATATATATATATATATATATATATATATAGTTGAGGGTAAGAATATTATTTGGCACTAACATTGACGAAGATGTCTCCAAGACATTTATATAAGTATTACAAAGTGATCGTGACACAAAACACACAATCCAAAAGTAAGAAAAAATAAAAAATCGCGACTGTAATCAGTTACACAAAACGTGTAACAAATTACTGCTGACAAATATTCTGAAAATACAATCAGAAGTAATTGATTATGTCACAGTAATCAGTTATGCTAACTCCAAAAGTATTTTTTCTTCAACCCATAAATACTTTTCACCAAGTTGTAACTAGTTACATCCATACATTAATCAATTAGAAAATTTAAATTACTTAATTTTCGCTTAACATTTCTACCCGATAAAAACACCTAATAAGATCACTATGTCATAAGGCTCAACAAGACTTAGGTGATCCAAATCCAATATCACAACTCTAAAACTATAAAGCTTAACACTAATCACATTCAAAATATATATTTTTTATTAACTTGGACGTAAGAGTATTTGCATATATCATTCCATCAGAACATCAATATACCAATAACACCGCTATTCAAGCAAGTGTTTGAAGATTCGCCGACACTAATAATGAACCTGATTTTCATATCGGAACCGAATGAATTATCCATAGTTAGAGAAGTTAATATATGAATACAAAACACATTTTATTGATATTATCTTTTGTGAGAATTTTATATTTTTTCCAATGAATTGTCAAACATTTCACCCACGTTGCATGTTTTTGCTCTTAACGATCGTGCCAATTTTATATCTATTTTTTCTACTTTATCAAAGTCATATATAACTATATTGAATGCGACGGATCCACATTTTGCACATATAAATAATTGCTCTATATTCTAGTAGTAGACTGAAAGCATCAATATTCTTCATTCATAAAAAAAAAAAAAAAAAACGTGCATTAATTGTCACCATCTAGTCATGGCTACATCAATTAAAAATATAATAAAATACACATTTGTAGGCTTCAACTATACTACAAATTATGAACACATGAATTGATTCCAATCACTTCACTAATTTGTAGTACTATTATTATCATGACACGTTACAACAGAGGCGTGACTCTGAATCCTTCTCTTTCTCTTCTGAAGGAAATTTTGAAGAGATCGCTTTATTGAAAAGCCACGTGAAGCATGCATTAATAACACTTGAGGTTGCAATGAAAGTGATAGTTTTGGAGGAAATTTTTTCCTACCATTCCTTCCTTCCATTCCTTGATTTGCCAACCATATTATCACTCTAGCCTTCAAATAATTTCATCCAATAATAATAATTTAAACAATATATATTAACTAAAAATTTATATAATATTAAAATACGTCTATTTATATTTTACCTGAAGTTCTCTATTGTCAAATTTGTGAAGTTCATGAGGAATGGTAACAAATTGTTTGTTTACTTTCGACACTTGATTCCTACAAAATTTCAAACAGAGAAAAAATGACAACCGATAAAATAAGAAGACGAAAGAAGAAGAAAAACTCATAAATCACTTACATTGATTTTTGAGATGATAAATCAAAATAACAATTTCTTTTCATAGTGATTCCAATGTAGCTTCTTATATTGACAAAGAAGAAGCAATATTAATTAATATGATAAAAGCTACATAGTGGAGAACACAAAATATTTAGATCGACACATGCATGAGACATAGATTTCAAAAGTGATATAGTATATATAGTATAGGTGTTGGGGGAAGTTGGATTGAATGAGTATAGGCACGTGGGAAATGAGTTACACATGAGAAAAACATTTGTATTGCATTGTAGCTCTCATTAATTAGTTGCGTACCTATGTATTGAAATGAAAACCAATTAACACCACACACAGTAACTCAAGGTGTATTTTCATGTGCCTTCTATTTCTTTTTAGCTAAATTTGATTGCCCTTTACAAAGTGGAAATTACTTGAATTGGAAATTTTGCTTTTCTTTGTGAACCATACTCAATGCATTATGTCTTTTTTGTGTTTCCATTTCTTTCACGTGATTAAATTCAGATCATCATGCTTTTTTTTACTCTTGGTATATTTGAGTTCAAGTGTTTTATGAGACCGAAAAGTTGCAAGAGTAAAACACAACGTTTTAAGTTTTCAACCACTTATGATTCTAGTGCCTTGGAAGAGAGAATTCTTGGTTTCATGATTAACCCCAGGAAACCCAAATCTGCGACTAACCGAAAAAGAGGGAAAGGCTAGAAGGGAGGCGGCTAATCAACGGTTACCATGAATATCTATATTTCATTATCAGAGGTGGGGGAAGTCGGATTAAATGGAAGAGATTTGGGCATTGTATACAATCTGGTAAAGTTGATATTTGTTTTCTTCAAGAAACTAAATTGCAATCTTTTGATGATAGCTTAGCTCATGAAATCTGGGGAAATAAGGAGGTAGAATGGTCTAGTTGTGGGTTTGAAGGAGCTTTAGGCGGCATGGTCATAATGTGGAGGAAAGACTTACTTACTAGTCTTGAATTTCAGTTTTAAGGGAGATGGATTTGTAGGGGTTAATGTTGAGTGAAAAGGTTGTGTCTATAACTTTATAAATATCTATGCATCCTGCAATTATTTGAGAAGAAGGAGCATGTGGAAGGAGTTAGTGCAAAGGTTTCGAATGGCGGCAAAAGAGGAATGGTGCCTAGGGGGGATTTCAATTGTGTTTTAAATGAGAGATTGGGTGTTGGAGTGAGTGGAAGAGGTGTGGAAATAGAGGATTTCAAAAGTTTCATTTATGACATGGAGCTTTTTGATGTTCCAAGCGTTGGGGGAAGGTTCACGTGGTTCAACAGAGGGGGCAATGCTATGAGCCAGCTGACAGGTTTTTGTTGTCTTCCAACTTGGTAAGCATGTGGAATATTACTGGGCAGTGGGTAGGTCAACGGGATATATCAGACCACTGTCCCGTTTGGCTGAAAGCTAGCACTATCGATTGGGGTCTGTGATACGGTGGGAGAACAGACTTTTTGTTTTGCGTTTGATCGCAAATGTTGCGGATAGCAAGAGTCGCCATCGATTTTTCTTTTATCCAATAAGAAAATGTGAAAAAGCACAGGAAAGACCTTTAGAGATGTTTTCTTGAGTTCGGGGGGTAGATTATGAAAAGGGAAGGTGTTAGTACTCTTTTCATCCATGGTTTTTCATGGGCTCTTAGTTTACTCGCTAGATCACTTGCTTTTGTTTGAATGTGTGCTTGTGGTGTGGGTTTGAAAATATTTTGAAAATGTCTTTGTAATGATTCTCGTCTCTATAAGAATGCGTACAAAGTGTTGGTTTTGAAAATAGTTCAAAGAGATGTGTTAGTGTATAAAATGTTTTTGTTGTGAGCAAGCGAGCAACTAGGAGCAAATCTACCTACTCAAAAGGTCTTAGATGTTCTTTTCCTCCTCCTCTAGATGTTGTTATCTTACCATTGATTTATCAAGAAGCCCCATCGTTGGATGTGAAGGGACGGGCGCAGGACGTTTTTATATAGTCATAGAAGACAACCCATGGAACGTTTTAGCAATATCGTGTTAGGGACTAGATCGTTTATCAAAGGCAACATTGAGGGTCATCGATGGACTACGATCTTTTATCGAGGGTCTTTGCTAAGACGTCCATGTTCGAGGGACATGACTATTTTTCCGATAGGCAACAAAGTGGGATTACCCTAAGGGTGCTAGTGTGCAAGTGTGTTTGATTGCATGCATTTTAGTCTTGATTAGGATTATCTATTTGCTGATTTCATGTCTTGCCATACACGCCCTAATTACTAGCATTTATTTGGAAAGCGATAAATTACGGGAATATAAAGTCCTAAGCTATTACAATATTTTAGGGATGGGGGGTACATATTTACAAATGGGGGTTGCAAGAATTTAAATCATATTTAACTATTACAACCATAGTGAAATGTACAATGCAAGAGAGAAAAAGGACTTGTTTAGAAAATGATTTTTTTGTCTTAATGAATTAAGAAAAAAAATTAATTAACAAAAGAAAATATGTTTATGTCTTTTTTATATTAATAAAAAAAGGGGGTTAATATTGAAAATGATAAAAAAAAATGAAGGATAGAAACGGCGTGCTGTTGCAAACAAAATAACAAGGATCAGAAGTTCTGAAGCCAGGCGGGTGGTGACTCAAAAAGGAACGTCAGTGGAATCAGAAGTTCTGGATTGATACACTCTGAGGTCCTGCAAGAAACGTCAGAGGGAAAGGAAACAGAGGTTCTGAGTGGTATTCAAACAGTGAGCCAAAAGTTAGAAGTTCTGTATTGCGCTAAAATAGTGAGTGAACATCAGAAATTCAGTGTGTTGTCAGCGTGTGGAAAATCAGAAATTCTGAGTGTTAAAACAGAGAGTGGAAGCATCAGAAGTTCAGTGTGTTTAACGTGTAGGGAGAACTCAGAAGTTATGTGCTGTGCTAAAACAGTGAGTGAGCATCAGAACTTTTGTGTGTTAAAATGGTAAAGAGAACTCAAGTTCTGCGTGCTTAAACAGTGAGAAAATCCTAGAAATTCTGTGTGTTAAAATGGTGAATGAAAAATAGAAGTTCTGTGTTGCATTTCAACTCTTTCATCATATTAATCAGCACATCAGCAATTTATTCAAGCCTTAACAACAAAGGAGGATAAAAGCACAGCATTTTATAGAAGTTCTAATCCTAATTCTGAGCCTAGCCTTAATCAAGAAGTTCTGATCCACAGTTTTCCTACTTATGCAATGATATGGACAACATTAATATTGTGATATTTACATATTTAATGATGTTCTGATGAGAATATGCAAAGTCAGAAAGACTTACCTTGAATCTGGAGCGTGTGCTTGAAACTTGAACTGCTGCCTTCAAATGTTCTTGAATTAGCAAGAGCAATAGGAGAGAAAATGTCAAGTTCTTTGATTCAAAGGGAAGAACAAAGGTTTTATTTTCTGTTTGGGAATTCTGGATTTTTTAACGAAGGTTTCACAGTTTTCTTTTCTCTCTTTTGACAATTTTCTCTCTCAAAAAACCAGCCCCTTGAAAGTGTGATGGAGCAACTTATTTATAGGTGAATTTGTTGTGGTTTTGGGGGGAAAACAAATGGGATTTAAACTTTTTTGGTACATTGTTCCATTGCTTTTTGATCACAGCTTTTTGTATTTGGTGCAAATATGGGATTTGGGAAAATGCAGGCGTGGACTGGATTAGCTGCTGGTTAGAGTACTGTGTTGTAGCAGTGCAACAAGTTGTTTAAACAAGGTCTTGGGATTTGGTGATGTTCTAATCGCAGAAGACCAGAATGAGACTCGAAGGGTGATGTTCTGACCGAAGCGTTGAACATAGCCTTCATATGTTGAAGAATCATGTTCTGACCAAAGAGCATCGCTTCTACATGTTCTGATTGAAGCATCATGTTCTGAACCGTGTTTGCAAATTTTGATTGCACTCACGTGAAGGCTGGCCCAGAAGTTCTGAAGTATTATATTATCTTAACACTTAGAAATTTTTTCTAAATATTTAGAAATTTGATTTTTTTTTCAAAGTAATTCCTGACTTCTGATTTTTTTGATGAACCAATTTCATGTCTTGATGAAATATAATTGTTGAAACTTGATTTTTGATCTAAAAGTCGAAGTTTGACTTTTCAATATGCTTTTGACCATTTTGCCCTTGTGGATGATTTTCTTGAAAAGTTGTAATTCAAGACTTGGAACTTGATAGAAGCAAACCTAAGAGTCCAAGATGATATTTTGAGAAATGAGAGGGCAAATTTTGGGGTACAACAGTTGCCCCTGTTCAATCTTCTTAAGCCTGAGGATGTAGATTGGTTGGTCTGCCTTTCGTGATCTGAAGGTGGAAGATGATTGAACACTAGAGTGCCCAGAAATTTGCACTCGCATGAAGTAATGCTGATTGGTGATATCATGAATGGGCTTAAGATGCCATTTGGAAGGCGATGGAGAATCGTCGGAGATGGGCTTAAAGATGCCATCCCGAAAAGATCGGTTGCATAAGAGATTACTTGGCGAGAATTCTTGTACCTGCTGTTGAGGAGGACTTTACCGAGGAATGTTGATTTATGCCCTGGGAAGTAAAATCTAGGAGCTTCGGTTGTCCATTACTCTACTGGGGAATTAACTCTTGATTGAGGGACTGAAAGTAGAATGTATACCTGATCAGGGTCCAGGTTGTACAGCGACTTACTGGGGAAATGTGAAACCGACCGTATCTGGTCAGATCTGGGCCTTACAGTGTTATAAATTGTTGCCTGGAGATAAGGGAGAAGGAACCTGGATAGTAGATTTACTTCGAGATGAAAGCCTGGATAGTAAGGCTTATGGGAAGGAACCTGGGTAGTAGGGTTACTACGAGATGAAAGCCTGGATAGTAGGGCTATGAGAAGGAACCTGGATAGTAGGATTACTACAAGATGAAAGCCTGGATAGTAGGGCTATGAGAAGGAACCTGGGTAGTAGGGTTACTTCGAAATGAAATCCTGGATAGTAGGGCTTATGGGAAGGAACCTGGATAGTAGGGTTACTTTAAGATGAAAGCCTGGATAGTAGGGCTATGAGAAGGAACCCGGGTAGTAAGGTTACTTCGAAATGAAAGCCTGGATAGTAGGGCTATGAGAAGGAACCTGGGTAGTAGGGTTACTTCGAGATGAAATCCTGGATAGTAGGGCTATGAGAAAGAACCTGGGTAGTAGGGTTACTTCAAAATGAAAGCCTGGATAATAGGGCTTATGGGAAGGAACCTGGGTAGTAGGGTTACTTTGAGATGAAAGCCTGGATAGTAGGGCTATGAGAAGGAACCTGGGTCGTAGGGTTACTTCGAAATGAAATCATGGATAACAGGGCTATGAGAAGGAACCTGGGTAGTAGGGTTACTTCGTTTGATCATGTAGATCAGTTGACCCGTTTGGTTTCGGGAACTGATTTTCCCTTAGTTGTCTGCAGATATGACATGTATAACTGCTGGAATTGTTGGTGATAACTGTCTTTCCCGAAAAGATAACAGGGTTAATTATATGTGATGCATGAAATGCATTGTGAGATGATGTTCTCAAAATAAATGAGATTATGCCGTATGTGATATGTATGTGCATGTCATGATATATGAACATGAGATGTTATCTGTGACATATCTGAGTCTGGGAAAATAAATTCCTGACTGCTGCTGGAGAATACAATGTTTCTGACTGTTGTGAATATTCTGCCAAGGAGAGACTTTGTTCGAGAATAGCTCTACGGGGGAATGACTCTGTTAAGCTTTGTTGGGGATTGAGCTAGAGAAACAAACTCTGCTTGGGGAGATAATAATTTATGATGATCCGCTCGCGATCATGCAATTCGGCCGGGGGATATAGATGTCAAGTTTCTAGACGACCCTGGCTAGGGAGATTACTTCCCGTTTTGAGAGAACTGACATTAATGCTTTGATTACCTTTACTCTGTGGGGAATACAGATATTACAAGGTCGCATGTATTGATGACTGTGCTCCAAAGCTGTCTCTGTCCTGGTACCTGTTGGATAGAGTAACTGTCGGGTTTGACATTTCATATTTTTGCCCCTGTTTCTGGAATTACGAGTAATCATCTTTTGTTTCTTATGTAAATATTTATGAGCAGTGATCATATTTTAAATGCATAGTCAAAAATAAATCATTGGACATTCTTGCAAAACAAAACAGAAAGAAGAAAAACTCAAAGTTTCTTATGAAAATGATTTTGTATTGATTTTTTAAAATTGGCCTGTAATAGGCGTTTTTGTACAAGGAGGCTGACGTTCTAGTAAGAGAACGTCGCCGTAAAAATATAATTTATACAATATTATGTAAAAAGAAAACATCTATGTACAATAATCCCATTGGGTTCCAATTCAGCTATCGCCGCTATGTCTTCGAGCGTCTCATCACTTTGTTGCTTGTCTGAAGTTGATTAGGTTGATCGATGCTGTTTGAGCTTGACAATTGATACTGAGGTCAGATCGCAGGATGATCCAATGGGACATAGTGATACTCTTTTCATCCCTAACTTTTTCCTGGACCACCGTTTCGGGTTTTCGGTCCACTGGTGTGATACGGTGGCCAGAACCGGGATGTGTTTCCTTATTTTTTAAGAAATTTGCTGGTTTGCGTTTTGCATATGTTTTCGCAAAATGCCGCGGT